AAAATATTTACCTTTTTTTACTGAATTAAGGTTACTCTTATCTACTTCAAGGACTTCTTATCAGGGGTATTCATTTATTATTATTTTGTATAATGTACGTATTATACGGTATTATTTTTCTTAAAACTTGGCAACTGACATTTGAATAAGGTACTAAATAGCACAGAAAAATGTTTCACGCTATTAAAGCAAATAGCTGTAGTGAGCATGAACAAATTTAGACAAATGTAAATAGAGCTCTGAATATATGAAACCATTTCAGCTATTCCCTTTCATTGAAAAGTGTTACGCCGCACTAACATTCAGAGTTCACCGCTTGCCGGTTGCGTAACATTTATTTACAAAGCAGGTAATACAAGATTTTTGACTATAAAAGCGTATCCAGTAACTTATGAGTATCTATTCGTACTTATACGATTTGTTTGCTAAAATATGTTGAAAACTGTACAAAAATTAGAACGAATTTAGAAAAACTATACAAAAAAATTAAGGAAATAAAATATAGATTTCTTATATAAGTTTTATCAGGACCATATTCAGGGCTATTTCTAAATAATCAAACATTTTCAAACGTACCAGTTGACTTGTATAAGATTACAAATATATTAAGGTCACCTTAATCCTTTTGTACGGGAGATATCACTATCTCACACAATAGAGATCACACCTGACATTGTCTCCTTTGTCCTTATTGCTGCTAAGAAAGATTGTGTTGTTATGGGCTGGAATATTATGTTACTAGCCAGCTCTCGTGACTTCGCGCGCTTGGAGAATGAATTTTCATAAAACCTCACAGGTAAGTTATATTTGCATAGTAGGAATGGGGTTTTCTCTACATCGTACATTACCTTCATTACTTGATCCCCGCGACTTTGTCCTTTCACCTACCCTCTTTAGACCTTTATATTGAGCGGGTTATTTTGAAGAAATTTGATTGAAAACTAGCTGTTACAACAATACTTTTTCTTCGTCTCGTTAGATTTATAAATAGCGTAGCCAACTATATATACAAACATAACACCTGATTACACACTTCGCATTACAATCACAGATGTGTGAGACTTAATTTAAAAATAAATGTGGAGAAATTTAATTTGAGATAAATCATACATATTTCAAATTATCAGTTATTCCAGCGAACATATGCAATATGTTTATTATACTTTAAAGATATTCTAAGTTATTTTTTCAGAGAAATACCTGCCTATATCTAGCTAAATTTATATATCTATCTAGTATTTCTCATTTAACAAAGTCGAGTGGATTATCTTCATGACAACTTTTAGGCAATCAAAACAATTATACATCTTATGAGTTAAAATGTAAACCTTTGAGAATCATCGTATGATTATCTGTTAAAAATGAGAGCGGTAAGAAACATTTTGTTAAATAAAGACCTAAAAGAAGATTATCAAACCAAATATAACGATATTTTTACTATTGCCAATCTTATCGATTAAATTGTGCATGTTTATGTGTAAAGAAATATTCGACGGATTTGTTTTAATTACGAATATGTGCAATCAATAAAAAAGTAACATTTCTAGATAGTGCTACTGTGTCTACTGGGGATGGTAAACGCTGTTTCAGTCTCGCCTTTCCCGGATAGTGTAAGTGACTGCTATGACGAGGATTCATTTTTGTGCTTTGACGACTCTACCACATATCTTGCTAATATATTTGGGTAAGTTTACCATTAAACAATGGGTTTGAAAAAATGTTATAGAAAAATTATATATTTGTAATAGTATTGATGTATGGTAATTAAAAAAAACTTAAACATTAAGTCATCAAAATCGGAAAATTGAATATTTTAAATTTATACGCACAATCTACCTTGAAATTAAGAAATTTATTTTACTTAACTATTGTGTGCGTTCATAAGAGTGTATAATTTAATATTTAAGATGATGAACCTGGTTACTATTGATTTCTTTTAAGTACGAATTGTGACAATAATTTTCATTTTAGGTTTGAACAGCCAGAGCATATCTGGCACGAACCAGGTGAATTTAAAAGCAAATGTGGAAATAAGTTTCATCCTATAAATGGTTTTTACTGGTATGTTGGCAAAGACGGTGCTTTATACATTAATAAACACAAATCTGTTGACAGTGACAAAAAAAAATTAAATATAGTTGCCGGGGGACGTGTTCCCGAGGATGTAGTTGCGTCTATGCTTGGATAAAATAAACCTTATAAGATTATAATCACTGCTTTTATAATTAAATGTTATTGAGAAATGAATTAATTTTTGTATTATTTTCAACGGCCCAAATATTCTCCAACCAGGGAAATTATATTTTCTCTAACATTACCTTGTCATGGTTTGTTTTTAAAATCGGATGGCAAAAAACACTTATTTATTTGGCATCAAAATTACTTGAGTGACTTAAATCAATGTAGCAATTTTCCTTTAAATAGAAATAATAATAAAGCTGTTTTTATAGCAGAATATAGTTACATTTCTAGTTTTATAGTAAAAACAATAAAAATTCTAAACAAGCGTGAACGTGTTTGTGAACATAATGTTAAGCCAAAGCATATTTATATTTCATTGTTTGGTAAGTCTCAAAAATAACTATTAAATAGCAACTGTTTCTCGTAACTACGTCTGCGTGAAGCTTAAGTTTGTTAAAGAATTTTTCACTCTCGTTTAAACCTATCCAAGATTAAGAAAATATACCCAAAACTAACTTATTTCTGTACGGTAAAGCGTTTATCACAATTTATCTTAATTCACACAAACTTTGATCCACCACTTTAAACCTTTAGTAGATGAATTTATGTAGTAACAGAAATACCCAATGTAAAATATCAAGTCTAAACCTAAAGCCTAGTAGGTCCCGCTTTATGTTGATATGTCAGCCAATCAATCAGTTTACTCTCTTATTTATATAGATTTAAAGTACGTATGGTATGTACACTAAACTCGTGGAGTTAACGGAGTTCGGAATGAGGACGAAAGCCTGGAAATGAGATACCATTATGTGACCTAGCACGTCGCCGTCGCGGTTGTCGCCATTTCAAACACGACCCTAATAATACCATTATTTATCTCATAAATACTATAGCGGCTTTGCACAACATAACTATTAACGCATTTGAATAAAAAAAGGCATTCTATCGTTATTACTTATGCTACAATTTCCTTATAATATAATAATCGCTAATTCTCAAAACTGTAAAATAAACTATAAAACATGAAACTATGAAATGAACGTATTATTTTAATATTAACTTGAATCTGTTACATTACGCTCCTTCGTTTTCATCTTTAAAATCTCTTTGTAAATTCAATTTTCCATTTTTGAGGTCGTAGAATAAATAAACGTTTATACAGCACGTGCAGACTCCAAAACTGTCGCAGTGTAATTTCAACCTGGAAATTATTTAGCAGAACTCGAGAAATTCCTTCCCGCCACCGAAGCAATATCACACGTCGCTAATAAAATCGACTATTTTAAGAGTAAAGCAATACTTTGTAGTAAACTAGACGAAGAATGCGGTTGCCAGCTTTGGAAATAAGGTATTCCTGGCATCATATAGGAAACTAAACAAATAATTTATGAAACAAGTCAAGAGTATAAAGTGAGATTATTTGCACATAAACGTAATAAGTGTGGATGTAATAGTGTTTTATTATTTATGATTTTCATTAGACAAAATTAGAAAATTGTTCTTTCTTCAAAGGTATGTTTTATGTTAAAAGGATCCTTTCGTTAAAAGCGCAACCCACTGATATGAATAGGTAATTTTTCTGATTTGTTTTGTTTTTTTTTTTTTTTAATACAAACATTTAAGTTTGTTCTCCTGCGATATTACAAATAGATTTCATTTTCTTTCATACTCTCTTGGGCCCTGAACCACTAAACTTCCTAGATTTCATCTTTTATTCTAACTCCCAGTTGTAGGCGTAATATATTTTATGTAATTTTACAACCTGACGGAGACTTTCGCACATAATATTAATAAGTGGCTTCTCTGTGACAAAAGAAAGAAATGAAGTAATATTACGACGCAGTTTTATTACGACCGTGCCATATGTTATGAGCCTCAAGGTATTCAGCAATATTCTATCACGAAAGTCACTTTTTGTTTTTCTTAACTTAATTAAAAATATGGTCAACAAGAAAATTAACATAGTACTATAAGTATGATAGACTCCAGGAACAATGACGTTATAAAATATATATTTTTTTAAACATACTATGTTTAAATAAAAAAAATCATTTTAGGTTTTAAAGTCTATACTGAATTAAAAATCTCGATCGATATATTCATTTTAGTGTCTTTAAAAAAAAATATCATAACACTGAATAGCAATTTCATTCAGAAAACTATTAAGAAAGTTCTTTTTTCTCATTACATCTTCCGTTTATTCCCAGTGCGAACATAACATAATGTGCACTGCTCCGTACTGCACCGACTAAGTACGCCGCAGTTTCTACCGACTGCAATGAATTGAAATTGTATTTTGTTTATTTGTTGTTCCCAGTGAACATTAGTTTATTTATTACCTAATGAAGATTATTTACGACTACCCAGAATAGCAATGAGCACAGACGGGACCTGATTGTCGCTAAGATGTGAATCTTCTTTAATGTAATTTTGATGAATTTCTGCGTTTTCCGGTTCTGCTATTACAATAGCTTTCACAAACCTGGCCATGGGTATTTACTTCTACGTATTTATCAATTATCATTATTTCGCCTACTCACCCGTTTTCACCAAGAAGCGACATCTAGATTAAAACAAGAGAATCCATTTTATCTGTAAATCGCTTACTGGAAAATAAATCAGGAATTTTTATTTCTATTCTGTATGTTACAAAAGTTAACAAAGGCAATTTAAATCATTTTACAGGTTTTCCAGTAATACCCATTATAACAATCTCTATGACGCTAATCTCAATTATCTGTACATTCTCGTCGCTTTGACATATTGATATTTTATCTGTGTTTCATAATTTGGTCTCTGATCTAGTTGACAGTTGACAGGTGGCAAAATAATTGTTATATTTTGAAGCATTTGCATTGTATATTACTAATACGATGTTAGTTTAATTTCTTGATTTCAATATTAGAAAATTAGTTTCAAAATACTCTAATATCCTTCAAATATAAGTTTTGTTTTGATATTGAAAGATAGAGTTATTAAATCTGTCAATATGAGTACGAGACCAGACGACCACCGTCGAAAGTGGGATAAAGACGAATTTGAAAGAATCGCAACAGAAAGATTAAAAGCAGAACTAGAAGAAGAAGAAGAACGAGCCAAAAAGAAACGTATGAACGGTTTAATTAGTCGTTATAAATTTAAGATAGTCCTCATGATTCACAATATTAATGTATGAAAATCTTTTTCAGCACCGCCAGTAAAAAGAGAACTCTTGAAACAACGGGATTATAAAGTTGACTTAGATTCTAAACTAGGCAAAAGCGTTGTCATAACAAAGAACACTCCAACATCCCAGTCTGGTGGATACTATTGTAATGTTTGTGACTGTGTAGTCAAAGATTCAATTAACTTTTTGGACCACATAAATGGCAAAAAACATCAACGTAACCTTGGCATGTCCATGAAGATAGAGAGAAGCACATTAGACCAAGTAAGTGTAATTGTCAATCTAAATGAAGTTAGTACAGGCTTCAGTTACTGTAACTAACGGCTAGTGCATATTTTGTGTGAGTCTAAATTATAGTGTGTATTTATTTATTCAGTAATTTGTTATTATAATATACTTTCATCAAAGTCACAGGTGAAAAATCCTTTTATTTTCTACATATATACTCTGTTACAGGTTAAAGCGAGATTCTCATTAAACAAGCGTAAACTGGAAGAGAAAAAACACGATTACGAATTGGACACACGATTAAGGGAAGCTGCTGAAGAAGAGGCGAGATTAAAGGAACTCCGTCGTGAGAGACGCCGTGACAAGAAACGTAAAATACAAGATACAGAGGAAACAGATGATTCCCCAGCTCAGTCAGAACTTGCTCAAATAATGGGTTTCTCAGGTTTTGGAGGTTCAAAAAAGTGAATGTACACAAATTTTACAAACACCTATTTGTATCAATATTAAAGTATGTTAATTAAATACAGAATTAGTAAATTGTATTGTGTTATTACTTTTATTTATACTGTCACACAATTTATTTTTTTATAAAAATAAAAAGAAATACATAAGTGAGTGCATTATTAAATGTTATACAAATTCAATGCAACTAGATTTAATCAAATACTCCATTGATACAAATTGTATGCAATTTTTCAAGCGGAACAAAGGTCAGCCTATTTAAAACATGCTAACACATGTTTTATGTGTTCATCTATTTTAATGGCAGATAACAAATGTTTACCTGTTGTAAAATGATCATCTCCCTGCATACGAAATACGATAAAATATTGTTATGAACATACTTAAAAAAGGTATCAGAAGAGAAAGAAACTTCCAACCATAGTAAACCTCTACATCGCGACCCACGTGATGCAATTGTAATTAAAAAAAGTAGTATACAAAACAGTTAAGAGACAAAGATTTTTGCTCATTTCTCTAAATATAAATTATTATGAACAAAAGTAATTTAAACACTATCTACTGGGGTTCGACCTGGTCGTGTCACAATCATAACTATACTATAATGCTACCTTAACTCTTAAAAAAGTAATGTTTGCATGTAATAAAAAATAACAAAATTTCATACATAATCTAACATAAAACAGGTATGGGAACTGGGTGTGCGTCTTTATTTCCGACATTGGAACGGATGGATGACTTGCATTCAATGTACTTTTAGCTATACCATGAAGGATGCGGACAATGAGGAAAACCATTGAATAGACATGATTATACGCCATAGTGTGCTCTATTCGCCAACCATGAACATACCACGCCTTCCTATAAATACTAAGTTCTAAGTTACATAAGGCTTGTGTGTAGATACAAACAACAAGAATGATACGTTTGCAGGCTGTATCCTATGTAGTTATTTTGTTTCTCATTTTCTTTGTAGAATATCAGGTAAATTTTGTTTGAAATGAATTAGGTGTCAGTGCAAGTTTTAATTTCATTTTTTTACTTAGTATTTGTAGGTATATTTACATTAAAGTTCTGAATTTATTACAGGTAACAGCCGAAGCAAATAATTGGATAGGTAAGTGTGAAGTAGACAAAACATCATTATTTTACCACATTATATTTATACCCTTACTCAATTTTTCTATGAAATTTTACATATGAATTTTTAAATTAGTAAATAATTTTTGACTGTAAAATATAACTTGGCATAAAGTAAATAATAAAACTACTATGAAATGTACATTTTTTTTTATTATATTTAAGGTATTCAATATTATCATGCTTTGTGTATCAAAGTGTTCTTGTCAGACAAGTAGATAGCACAGAATATGATTTTTTTCTTCTAGATGATGCATCACAAGTCCGCATAAAACGCCAACTGGAAGATTTTGATAGTGATGATGTCCCACCCGAAGAACCCGGATTTTGGGATAGAGTTGTAAAAGTTGCTTTGAGATTGTTCAATAAATTTATAGAATGGCTTAATTCATCCTAATGTTTTGATGTTATTTTTATTTAGGTTAGTTATTATACAAAAATAAATCTTATAAACAAAGCTTAGTTATTGTTCTATTGTCCTTTTTTTATTTTATTAATTTATCTGTATTGTAACAAACCTTCAATCTGTTGAACATAATATACATCATAAAAACATGGTTTTCAATAAAAAAAAAAACAATTGGGTTGGAATACTTTCAAATAAAAGAGGGTATTAAAATACTTGAACATCATATATATGTTTATTACACAAGCTCATTACAATATGTAAATATATATATTCATGATGGTCTTAAAATATCCTCAGATAAGTTAAGTGGGTTGTATGACCTTTGTGATGCAATATGTCTTATGTTAGTCAGCTCTTGATTATCTGTATAATGAGGAAATGAATTTAATTCTTTATCAGACATGTTAAGAGACCTAATTATATTTTTAACATTCGACACTCTCATAAAAGGTTTACTTGTCAAAGCTGTATCAACTAGACACTTATCCACTATTGAAATTATCATTTTATCTTTAGGCAGTTCTTTACCTTCCAATGCATTTGCCAGTGCATGATATATTTTACTAAAATTAACATTACTTGCGCAAGCAGGTGAAGGGAATTCTTCAAAATCTGCTATCAGACGAAGAACTGTTGCAGTATCTGTACGAAGATCCTTTAAATTTAAAGATTCTGTGAGAAATTTACCCCAATCTGCCAAAGGTATAAGGTTGGCCCCAGTTTTTGTTCCTTTTTTTACTTTCTTACACAATACTGGATGTTCAGATATCAGGTTCTTGTAATGTGATATAGCCCTTCGAATATCATCTACAGACTTTGTGGTAATGTATGTACTTAGTTTTTCATAATCCTGAAAGTCACATACCTTTAATGCTTGATAAAGATCATATTTCTCTTCTTTCGTCCAATTTTCGATGCCATACGTATTGCCATTACTTGACGGTTCTCCCATCCTACTGCAATTAGTACACAGTTTCTAAAATTCTTTATTTTTACTTGCCTTCTGAATTAATATACCTATAAGGGAATCACCACATTGCTAACAAACCATTCAGAACAAATCACCGCCTCCGAGGTCCTAGTGTTAAACTATAAATATTATAATGTTTTGCTTCCGGCTACCACAAAACAGGGATGTGTAAAAATCAAATAAAAGACCTTTAAAAAAATCTTAAACAACAATTCATTCAACATTCAACAATGTAACATAAAAATCTGACTTTGACATAATAACACATAATAATTTAAAATCGATTGACAGTTCAATTTTTTTAACAAAGATTTTAAAGACTCTGGATTCTTGCCCTTTTTAGGCGGCATAGATTTTATTGTCATATTGAAAAAATATTGATTTTGAAGGTTTGAAAAACAAAGGTGGCAATACTTAGCTTAGTGAAAATACTGACGTTTCTCAAGCATTGCACCTGTTGGAATCTAAATCTTAATCCACTTTACTCTCTACCATACGTCTCAACAAATCGTCATTTCACAGACATTGATGATCTCTTAAATTGGATGACCATCTTTTTCAGCTTACTAGAAAGATTCTCTTCAGTATTCAGTCATGAGTCTACAGGAAGTCTTAAGGCTTACTTTTTCAACCATGCCTAGAACTTTTGAACAGAGTGGATATCTGGATAAAAACAGAGAAATGTTATATTTTTTTGCAGGAAAATTAAATAAAACATAGAGTAGATAGTATAAAAATTATATATATTGATTATACTTTACATGTGATCAGATATTTCTGAACATTATTTTATATGCGAACTTGATATATTCATTACTGTACAGAATCCCAAAAAACCCCGAACAGACCGATGCGGCAAAATAAAACTTCAGTATCGGGTGAATGAGCCAACTTTATTCGTCGCTTGTCGCAAGCGCATAATAACAACGCGGCAAACCTATAGTGGGCACTTAAACAGTACAGCGCCATCTAGTGATGAGTTGTAAAACTACATTTTATTAGCAATTTGCTTTACAAGACATTAACATACCGCCCACCATGGACAGCATGTCCATCACAAATACACAAAAATTTGAGACATTTACAAAATTACAGGCAAATTAAATAATAGCAACTGTCCGCCCACCATGCCGGAACGAAAAAGTATACAATAACAAGCTTAAGGAATAACTAAAGAAATAACAAACATAAACATAGTAAAATAATTGTACGGTGACATTGTAACATAAATAAAAACTAGAAAAAAAATTACAATTAACACAAAGAAAACTTATGATTACAATGGTAGCAAATATTCTAGTGGACTGTATAATACAAAATCTAAATTTAATAATTAAGTGACAGGTAATATAACTAATTTTGACAATGGTCGCTTTATGACACTGCTCTTGTAACTTACGCTAAAGACCCTCGTAAGGTTGTCCAAACCAGCATGCTTTTTATCGATAACGCAAAAAAAAAACAACTTTGCCGGTGGAAGATCATCTTCACGAATAAGCACAACATCGCCTACTATGGGTTCCGAAACCTGATCTGTCCATTT